TCGTAGTCTTTGCCCAGCTGCCATAAAGGATGTATGCCTTTACCGGGTCATCGTCCTCTTCAGCCGTACCGACTAGGAATTCTTTCATGTCGTCGTCTACTGGACAGCCCTCCGATCGATTTATGGGTAAGGTGATCGGGGTGTGTAGTAGGGGGCTAAGAGAATTCTCGAACAGATCGCTTATCGCTTCTAGTACCAGAGGGGTTTACCACTCTCTCCCTCGCAATCTAGCTTAAGTAAGTCTTGTGATGTTGTCAACATGGTCAAATGGGTACGAGGAGCTAGTGGCGTTTTCATTTCAATAAGGAGTCTTCGGATGGGGCAATACAAGTCTCACGATACAAACTGTTTACGCCACTGAAACACTTGGACAAGTACAGGTTTTAGCTCAACCGGAACCTCGATCACCACACAATCCTCCATAGGTAAGACCTTCCCGATACCTCTGGACAACTCGTCTGCGTCATTATTAGCTGACTCCACCCTCTCTGCATCAATGTCACAGTGCAGGTCTACAAGCAACCGCTGGATACTTTTCCACTCTTCGTTTACCGCCCTGTCTCTTGACTTATGCTTTAGGACTACGCATTCTGATGTCGTGTTGTCAGTAAGGACCTTTATCTTCTTTCCTTTCACATCGTGAATCTTACTTACCACCAGCAGACCTAACCGGATAGCGGCAGTCTCTGCCCATGCTATTCCTCCTTTTTCCGACACTCGCAAACGTTCCTTCCATCCTTTAAGCAACTTAAACTGTGCCCAACTTCTGCCTACCAAAATTCCTATCCCAAACGATGTCGCAGCATCACCAACCCAACCTACATCCGTGGTTTCCACACTTGGGATGATCCGTCTTGATTCAAACACAGCCAAGGTGAGTTTCCATTCCATCAAGTCAATCGGCACATCGCCTGGTAATGTCCTCCTCGCTGATAAAACCTTCCACTCATTCTTCCACTTGTGTAAGCTTGCCATGTAGCATACCAGGTTAGGTACTATGTAAGATGTGTGAACTAATCTTCCTACCAACTTCTTGGTTTCTTTAAAGGTGAAAGATCTGTCGGACACCAAAAAGTAATCAATCTGATCTTTTCTTCCGTTCAATTTATCTTCCGGTAGCCGGACTGTCCTTTCCAAGGAGTTCCACACAAAACCTATATAACGCTGTTCTGCCCCGAATTCGTGTACCTTTTCTTCGTTCAAGGCGACCCCCATCGAATCACTCAACGTTACGATGTCCTTTATCATGGTTTTATTCTCGACGTCTTTTACCAGTAAGTTATCGTCGACCCAACGAAACGCCTCCTTTAACCCAAACACTTTCTTTACTATTTTCTTCCATAGATCCGCAGGTCGGCCAAAAACACCGCATCCTGCAACACCACCAAACTGCACCCTACAGTCCAGCCACAATCGATTTTGGAGATCCAGGATAAACAGATACCTCCACTGCGATGGATGTATCGGAATTTGCCGATAGGCTTTTTCCCAATAAAAAATGGCCAGTACTATTCGTCCTTCTTCTTCACTAAAAAACTTCACAATTATTTTGAAATCATCCCAAGTCGTGTTGAAATCCTTTTTGTTTACCAGGCTGTTTACTGATGGGGTTTCTTCTGAATTCTGTGGGAAAGACGTATCGTTTATGATGCGGAAAGAGCCGTCGCCGTTAATCACGCTCCCCATCGGGCTGGAGCGAAAGAAACCAATCTTCTTGAACACTTCTTCATGGGTAAAAGGGCCGAATATCCTTCCTTCTCTATACTCTTTTGCTAACATATTTTTAATTTTCTCCGCTGCCAACAACGCCGATTTGTGGTTTTCTGGTGTAAACCACCTACGATACCCCAGAGTATGATCTGGAATACCCTGATGAAAACCTCTAATCAAGCCTGCTATCACGTCTTCAGCTTCAGCTTTGAGTCCGAATTCTTTCGCGAGCATGCACCATTTGGGGATCTTCAGTCCGCAAGAGACCACCTCTGTTGGCCAGCATGAATCATAAGAGCTCCCTGAGTTAACGTAAGCTTTTAACATACTCATGTAGATCAGACGTTGTCCTGGGTGTTGTCCGACCTCCACATCATTGGCCTCAAGGTTGACGTCTCTTTCAGCAGTCTGTTCATTTGCTCTTCTCTCATTGTTCAACCCCCGAGGGCGCGTCTCACTAAAACAATCGGCAGGGCAACGGGATAGGGCACATGAGTCAGATTTCACAAATCCAAGAAGGTGCTCATTGCATTCATCCACACAAATAAGCAGGTACTAAGATAACACAGAAAGTCGGCTAATGCCTGCCTAAAACTCCACAGGAACAAGGAAGATCTCATATTCGACAGTAGACATGCCTTCAAATTGTAAGGAAATTGTATAGCCTCACAGGAGATATGAAATTAATCGGGGCTACCGCCACACACACACAGAAAGATGGGGATCTCCCTTTTTCATCACACGGGTAAAGTGAAACGGAGATGGAACAATCAAGGCTCTTCCAACCGAGGGGCTTACATTTGCCTCCCTGCAGGTCCAGCATTATCTCTCGCATCACCCCGACGGTCATCACGATCTCTTCACCAATTCTCCCGGCGACGACTAGGGCTCCCTGCCCTCGAACCATGGTTTCCACCGTTCCAGCTCCCTCTACGGCCTCTGGAATGGTTACTTCTGAACGCCTGTCTCCTATCTTCAAAGTTATTAGGCGCAGAACCTCCTGGGCCGTCGTACACCGGCAAGTTGTTGTAAGAGTGATAATTTGAGAAGCTGTGAGAGCGTGGCGTCGGTCGGTTAAAGGATTGATTTCCCACCAGGCCGCCAGAGCGACTATCTACCCCAGTGATTGGGTCTACGAAGGCCTTGGCTTCCCCATCTGCATAAGGATTGATCTCCTTGAAGGCGGGCAAGAAGTCCTTTAATCTTTCGGTCTCTCTCACTGCCTCGCGCTCAAGAAGACCATCCCGTATTGCAGGGTTGGCAACTGACCCATCTGGTAAACAAAAGGTTATCACCGCGGTTCGTACAGCTAGGTCGTAACGGAATGCCACCGGCCAGTTTGAATTCTCTCGTTTGATTGCATACACATTCTCTTTGTGGCTTCTGAATTTAACCGCTAGCTCTTTCCATTTGTAGTATTCCAGATAAGCGATAAACAAGTTGAACGCAACTACCCATTCCCCGAATGTCATCTTCCATTTGATTGGAACTGTGAGACCGATGTACGTATCTTCCAACTTCTCCTTTACTGAACATTTCCGGAGTGTAGATTGCTGAAGTAGGTCTTGTCTCAACCATTGGGTGTTAAATACGGAAAGAGGGATGTATGCGTCTAATGTTGCCATCTTGGTAGCGAAGAACTTCGATAAGGAAACTACGCCATGAGACTCGATGCCTTCTTCACTAAACTTGATGGTTTTGTTGGAGGTTGGCTTGTCATTGACAACTTTGTCATCTTCGTCAACGGTGAGATCAAAAGGCCCGAGCTGTGTCGTGGGCGGTCGCTTAGCCGGAATCGCAGCTGGTCCTGGTGTCTCACCTGCAGATTCGGACAAGGTCGCTGCAGCAACATTGCGGCCTGCCAGACTGGTGTCTGCCATCCCAGCAGTCAGGGGTTCGTCAGCCGCCTTGGAAGATGTATTCTGCTCGTGGGATGCGGGGGTGTTCTGAGCATTAGGCGTGAGTTCCGCCACTTCCTTCGAGGTACCTCCGGGAGTCAATGCCACCAAGTCGAAGCCACGGGACTGAAGCCACGTCTTAATAGCATCAGGTGAACATTCGTCTATCCGATTCAGGATGGTACTTGTACCCGCCATAAACTTTGAATGGGCAGCAGCGGAGGAAACTGATGGCACTACACGTCGTAACCCCAAAGATATACATTTGTCAGTATCCATTCTGGATGGCGCGTATCTGTTTCCATCTCCATGAGGCATTGCTCTTCAAGAGCGGCATCACGATATGTGGCTTTGCTAAAGCGGCATCACTGTGAGTGGGGAATGTAATGAAGCTTACATGATGTGCCGTTTACAACAGTTTTATTTATCACTTCTTCAGCAATCAGAGGTGCCAGTACACCTTGCGCGGGATTGACAGGTAACCTTGGTACGGTAGCCGTCGCCGGTATGGTGGAAACCCCGGAGCTATTTGTTGAGGAGGCTACTCTGGTCCCAGACTTTCCGCTAGGGACGGCGGCGTTGGACATTTCCTTTCCTGGCAAGGGTTGACCATTGTCCAGGTTCCCTCCTGCAGGTTCGTGCACCGTGGGTCCTCCTCCAGTTCCGGCGCCGACAGCCGGTGGGGCAGGGCTGGATCCAGCTGGTTGATCCTTAGACAAGGTAGATTGGCTACCTCATTTCTTCCCTTTCAATCCTTTCCCCTTAGCGATGGCGGCTTGGTTCTGGGAGGTCGTGTCGGTGTTAGACAAGCCTCCGGAGGCACTTTCTCCCTGTGTCAAAGCAGCAGGGTTCGCACCTGACATGGACGCGGAGTTGCCGTTGATCCTATCACTCGTCCTCTTCACTTGCGTGTTGAAATCCTTGATATCTTTAGGTGCAGACATTTCTTAGATTGGGAAGTATCAAAAAGATTCTCTGATAGAATATAAGTTTTCCGGATGTTTGTGTATTCTGAGAAGACAATGAGGAATCAAAAAAGAAAAATTTATTTGCTGAGAATAAATTCAGACGAGTGAGTGAGAGAGAAGACGGTGATGATGAGGTGAAAAACATGCTCGTGGGATATCTGGGGAAAGGAGAAGAAGTTGGCAATATGGGAATGGTCTGTGGAAAAAACTTTCACATGGACCCTGACTATATGTGTCCAACTTACAGCTATCCCGCTATAAGGATAGTCACGTGTTTCCTTTGATACTCATATGCGTGTATGTGGCAGCCGATGGAACCGTCGTGCCTTTGGGCACCATCTACCATCAAGTTTTTGCTCGAGCTAAGTGAAGGGAAGCTGTCTCGGGAGCAATTTGATGTCTACCAAACCCTCCAAGGGGATTGAACAGTCCCAGGAAGCTGTCTCAGAACAACATCGAAACCGCACCGCCATAGATAGTGGAAGCGCTGTGGGACTCCCACAAAAAATATGGGGTCTTTTTGTAGTGGCTGGCCCACAGCCCTATTTGGAAAAGGGTATTGCCTGTAGTGGGTCATGTGCAGCGCTCGAGCTTGTATGGAGAATGTCCACATGTATAGTGGGACACATAGCAAGCACTATGACCTGTATATACCCATGCCCTCTGCGCCCCAAACATGTATTGATCCATGCCCTGCGCCCCCTCCCTTTCTTTTCCAGATTACACCTTTCAACATCTCATTCAACAACCCTCACCCCCACTTCTATCTCAATCTCACCTCAGCAAGTTATCATGAGCAACAATGGCCAGTTTGGGTCTGAGCGTCACTTGTAAATGTAAGTACACATTTGACAGATATAAAAAGGCAGTTGCTTTGCTTGTTGACCTTTGTTCGCTTGCCTCCAATTCCAGTTTCATTATTGACCCACTTCGTCTCAATGTTTAATCTCATTCCGTATCATCTTCAAACCGCTCCATCCAAGTTCAGCTTATTCATCTCAACCACAATTGTTTCCATCTTGATTTTCTCAACCAAACCATCCAAGTTCATCTCAAATCTCTTCCATCAACGCTGTTTCTGTCTCATCATGATCCCATCAACCTCTCAGAGTAAACCAGATCGGTTGATTCAAACAGACTCTTGAATCAATCTGGCTCCGCCGTCGACTGCCCCAACCCAGTCGCCTTCAGGGCGATCTCTCCGGCCAAGGTCACCAGTTGAACCTTCACCTGGCTTTGTCTTTACCTCACCCAACTCTTGACGATCACTTCAGGCGTCATTTCCAACTCCTGGTCCCTCAAATTCCGACTCCCTGTTTTCCCCGATTGACGGGGTTTTTATGGCGGTCCCTGAAGATGAGGATGAAGTACTGGAACTTCAATCGCCATCGACCAGAAAACAAACCAATCGTCAAACCGAAAAAAAGGCAGTGAAGAAAAGAAAAAAAGTAAGCCGTCTGATCTTGCACTTTCCTTTCTTTTGAATGATTGCTTTCATTGACCAAACTCAATATTCTGGTTTTCAATCTCTAGGACAAGACGGTTCCTGACTGTGTAGATCTTGATCAAGACTCTGGAGACGAAATCGTTCCAAGAAGACCCAGGACCGGTATTAGGGCTTCACAACTGGCTCGCGTTAGAGAGTTACTCAAGTACTTTCACCCTCCGATCTATCCAACTGGCCAGGTTAGTTTTTTTTGCTTTGATTCCTTTTTGGTTCAATATTCAAGACTGATATTTTTCTGTTAGACCTCTGGTGATCCACAGGTTTACAGGTGCCGATGGTGCCGCGGTCGCTTCCTCAAGGGTTCAACTAGCTACTACAACCTGTACGGAAATCGGGATGGAAGCAAAGGTCGACCCGCTTGCCCCAGGCGATTGGATGCCTTAGCGGCCGGTTTGGATCTTCCACCATCGTGGCAGGAGCTGCAGAGAGCGGCTGAGGCAAACCAATCCGGAACTCTCGATCATTTTGTTTCTAAGGACAAGTTCACTGTTGAACTCCTCAATCTGATGTGTGTAATCTGGGTCATTCGACAAGCTCAACCATGGGCTCGGTTTCAAGATGTTGCCTTGCGAGCAGCATTCCGATTGGCGAATGTTTCAGCAGCCCTTAGATCTGCAGTGTGGGCAGCAAATGCTGCAAAGCGCTGGATTGCAACTGACTGTTTTGGAAACAATCAAGGTTTGTTCTCTTCTCATATCTATCTTGATCTGCTTCAGTTTCAGTTTCTGAGTCTTCATTGTTTCTTTCTCACTCTTTGTCTTTATGTAGAACAACTCAAGCAAATTTTGCCTGATCCACGATGGCTGGACCACTCGTCGAAGCAGGTATGCATTCATTGGAATGAACGTAACTTTCATTGACAGTCAGTGGGAGTTTCAGACCGTTCATCTCGGTCTGAAGCTGGCCGTGTGGAACCATGCAGTTGTTTTACTTGCCCGACCTGTGGCTCGATTCCTCATCAAGCATGGTCTCTATCATAAGATAAGTTTTTTGTATTTTTTTATTATTACCCATTTCAATCTTGATCCTGACATTTGTTATGTTATCTACATGCTAGCCCAAACAACAGATTCGGGCTCCAACAATCACACCCTCGCTTACGAATTGCAGAGGATGTTTTTACAAGCTACTCCTAGTGTTGAATGGTCAGCTGGTTGCATGCAAATTAGATGTTACGCCCACAAGCTAGCCTTGCTGGTGAAGCACGGCCTAGCTTCTATTGGGCTTGATTCTGGCCACACCAAACCAACCACCCAACCTCTCTTCAATATCCCCACTGCTTCTATTATCTTGAATGACGGTGACGATGTCGAACTTAAAGTTCAAGATGAATCCAAAGACTTGGATCAAGCTAGTGAATCAGAGAATCGCGACTGTGATTCAGAAAGTGACGGTGAGATTGATCAACAACCCCCAAACATCCTGAGTTTGCTGCCTGGTTCTAGTAGAAGTCGTGCCGATCTGGTCGTTCAAGCAATCAAAAAGGTGAGTTCTCATTCATATACCTTTTTCCTCACATATGATTTGAGACTGACGTCTTATTTTATAGATTGATTGAGTCAGCCGCCTCATCGCTCGGCGGCCATCACGACGTCTAGAATTCCGAAATTGTGCCAAGGATTTGGGTAGGATCTTATGTTGTCCCATTCTTGGTGTGTCCAGCAAGTGGAACGGGCTGCATCAGAGCCAATCAATCATGGTAGAAGGAGCTGAGGTGAGTTCTACTGCTTCTTACCTCATGAGCTTTTCATCATTTCTAACGGCCACTCTTCCTTGAAAGGTTATAAACCAGATGTTGTCCAATGACTAAGACGGATATTTTGAAGAGATTTCAATCTCCAAAAGCGAATGGATATGTGCATCAGCTTTGATTGAGGTCATGGAAGTAAGTCGTCTCTATCTCTCTATCTGTATTTTGATCATCATGCACAAGATTCACCTCTGATGTCTCTTGAATTCTCCAGGTGTTTGTACTAGCCACGTCAAGAGTGGAGGGAAATCATTCAACAGCGGCCATCCTGTTACTCGACTACCATCGCGTCGGCACATCACTCAAAAAGCTCAGTTTGCATACACCGTACGCCAGCCTCCAGACCATGATCGCCAACATGATCAAGCACCTTCAATCATACGAAGAAGACGCGCTTTCATGTGACGCAATCATTGTTGCCACCATCCTCAACCCTCGACTTTGAATGAAGTTTTTTGAACTTCATCGTTCATCTCAAGTCACTAACGTTCAGCGAGTTATGGACCGATTTATGGATACTTATTCAATCCAATACCAAGCTACCCATCCAGTCCAGCCCCTTCTTACTGATCAGCAACGTCTGACTGTCGCCGATGACGAGTATAATGTGTTTTCTACAATGGCAGCCGGTCCTCACAATGACACCGAGCAAGAAATGGAGGGTTACTTGTCTGGAAAATTTCCCCTTACTAGTGGCACGCTTTTGTCATGGTGGAAGGTATGTGTTATTGTTTGTTGATCTGATCATTGATACCAATGTTCCTAACCAACTCTTTTGTTTTAGGACCATGCTGGGGCATTTCCTGTCCTGGCCCTCATGGCTCGGGACTTTTTAGCATGCAGTGGAACCACTTGTTCATGTGAACGACTTTTTTCAAGTGCAGCTGATGTGTGCGGGTCTGATCGATGTGCTATGGCAAGCCGCACTATAGAGCGATATTCATCATCTCGGGAGTGGATCAGGTCGGACATCAAGGTTCCTGGTGAATTTTCTGAAGCTCTTACTTTGGTGGAGAAGATAGACACAAAATGAAGGCTCTCTTTGATTTTCTATTTGTTTATTTTCTATTTCAATATTGTCACTCATTCAATTCCCTTGCCTCCTTTCTAATCTCAGTTTCATTCTTTTCTCTCTTCAACTCCTCTCAATTATCCTCTCTTATTCAGTTCCTTTTCTGCTTCCCAACTCTTGTTAATACAAAGTTTGGCTACTTTTTTTCTTCCTTTACTCTCATACTCAGATATTTAATCGTTCTTGTACATGCTTGTCACCTATTTTTTAAATGCTTTTTAATAACATTCCTTGTTCATATTAAAAAAACCCGTGTGCGCTATCATAGCGTAGTGAGCATATATTGTAGTGACATGTAGTGCCTGACGCGCATCCCTACATATAACACGTAGCGGGTCTGTCCTGATAGTGGTGTGTAGCGGGCCTTCAGGATAGTGGTACATCACACCACTATTGAGGTCCCTGCATATTGCTGTGCGTAGCGCAGCAATTTCGACGTTGTCCACACACGTACCACCCCAGTTCATCATTTTCCAAAACGCCAATTACCTCGAATATGAATAACTTCAGCATCTGTGCGATCAAGAAAACAACATGTTAGACATAATATGTAGTAATCTACTACGGAATTAATAGGTGACAAGTCATATTTACCTTGAGTCCTAGGGATTTGGAGTGCAGATCCCTCAAAAACAAAGAATCGTCAA